CAACAGCCCCCTCCCTCCCCCCGCCCCACATCGACCTCGCGCACGCGACAATGACTTTAAATGCGTGTGTTACTTCGTACAAAAAGTAGCGTATGCCACGTTTTTGCCAACTGAAGACACTAATCTTTACAGAAAAAAACATGACAGCCTTGGTCACATTTTTTATGCATATTATTTACCCATTAATCCATATGTAAAGTTGTGAGTGGCAATCCGTACGGAAATCCATACAGTAACTAATAATAGTCCTTTTTTCAAGACCGATAGTGGATATGAATAGTGCAAAATATTCTGAAAAGGGAAGTGAATCACAAAGGAATATTCGAAAACCATTCGTACATTCCATGTTGTCCGTCTTAAAGAACCGTTATCTTATTACCAACTCGAAAGTGGCCAATAAGTGCCGTCAGTAGTCTTTCCCCAAAGAGGTTGTGTTTGACCATTCGTTTTCTTATAAGGGCACTACAGAAACGTTACTCTGTCTTTCGTTCAGTAGTACCATAAAACAAACCTCATCTCTTGTTCAAAAGATAGCACTTTAGTGAAACTATAAAATGAGAGGAAAAGATTTCTTCCAATTTGCTTAATATGAATGATTGTTTAAACCGCGGGCAATTGTGGCACGTTTAATAAACTTTGCCCCACGGACTGTATATTATGCTTTGGTACCTACCACTGCCTACTTGAAGGTCTGTGAAATTGACAGCACATAACGTGACAAACTTGAAACAAAAAGTTCTCTGTATATGCATTATATTCTGATGGAATTGATCGTTGCAAGTTTGAAATGATCAGAATCAGATGTTGACCAAAGCGACAATCTTTGCAAAGTCACATGCTGGAACATGTGACAGAATCGTCAATGTTTTAGTTTGTGTAACGTGTATAAAAACGCTTTCATTTTGGCATGGATGGAAGGCGAATCAGTAACAGACCTAAATGCTATAGCCCAATATAATAATTTTATTCTAATCAGTCAGTTATGTAGTTCGATGTGATTTGCCAGCAAAACAATGGCAGTGGTGGTTGCAACCGACGGTTATATCTGGCACAGTGAGTATATCCTGGCCATGAACACAAATGAAAGGATTATGCCGAACACACAGCCTATAGTAAGCATCGAATAGCATAACGGAATAAGGACGCGTTTGCTTTACAAATTTTCGACCATGTCAATAGTCACTGTCATTACAGTATATATTCGCGACATTCCCGGCAAATATGAATCATTCTTCAAGGCAAATCAAGTTTGCTTCATTGGTAGGCAGGGACTACCGATCTTTCAACAAATTCCCAGATGGTTAAGTACAAACAAAGATAGAATAAACAAGAAAGAATAGATTTATAACGAACTATTCATGACAAGTTTCATTGGACCGTGCTACTGAACATGTTCAGATGCCAAATGGTCCGAATTAAGTTAGAAATGTGAGCGCCTGAAAGTTTTAGTTCTGGCGTACATACAGGTAGACTCGCTGCAATTCGCCTCCTTATTCGATTTACAACTTGCCAGAGTGTCATGTAATTTTTCAGAGTCGTCAGTATAGCCACGTCAGCAAACATGGCAGTGAAATGTCAGAACTTTAAGTTGATCTCCCTGGAATGAAACGGCTCATAGATCACAAATGGAATAGATTCCATGATTTTGTAATTGGAACCAAATTTTGCCTTTTGGTTATGTTTCAGTTAATGTCATAAAACTATAACAAGAAGATACGGACATTCTTCCTGTGGTGGCGACCGGAATTTCAAAATCGGCGAAAAACAATGAAATGGGTATGAAATGCGTAATTCAAAGGGGACTTTTCCGAAGAACCCACAGACCACTACGATATCGTTTCAGTAGGAAACAATGTGATGGTCGAATAGCGTTTAAAGGCGATTAATGGTCTCTGAGTGGACATGATGTTTTGAGTAGAGTACTAAAAGTAGAAGCGGACAAGTACTCTATCGACAATGATGCAGTTTCACGGCAGAAGTCAATTCCAATGCACCCACTTGCGGTTGCTCCGCCGCTGTCACCGGCGAAGAACGTGAGATGATATTGTGTACATTGGTCCTAAGACAAACTTCAGACGACGACGTCTTCTCACTGACGCTAGACGTGGTCGGGTCGATCGTGCTGGCTGAGTATTCCTGTCCTGCTGTCTTTTGATGTTGGAGAGTCCGTACTCTGGCCGAGGGCGCTTGCAAAAGGGCGTTGAACGCATTTGATAGTGCCGCTTGTAGACAGAACCGTCGGTGCCATTCTCCCATCTCTTGCAAGACTCGTTTCTCCTCCCCCTAACCGTCTTATTAATT